TGCATTCCCTCTTTAATCATTCTTTTCCTAGCTATTTTTCCATCATTATTTCAGCCACATGCATTCTCAATCATAAGAGCCATATGCACTCTTAAACAATCAGCCACATATTCTTCCATTCCCTCTATAAAAACCCATGCATTCATACACAAAAACACATCCTTTGCCGTGCAAAGAACCATCCATTCCAGAAAATCCTAGCCTTTGCCGTGCATCCCCTTCCATTTCCAGCACCTCCTCTTCCATTTCCATCACTCCCCACTCCATTCCACATACAAATACCCTCCAAAACACTATCCTTAGACCTTGTGCCACAACAAAGAGGAGGAGAAGAGGGCCTAAACGTTCATACAATTCAAGTTTGAGTTGTTGGAATTTTTAGGTGTTTTCTCTCCTTGATATTCAATGATTAAATTTACTTATCTTTGTCTTGTACGTATAAGGAACTAAACCTCCCTTGGCTAAGGGTGTATTCGAAACCATGATTATATATGTGAAATAAGTTGATTACTTCCAGTTATCGTTGCATAAGTCGTGAATACAATTTGCTTAACCGTTTGATTTAGAACTTATTCTTGTATGTTGATTGAGAGTGCACGCTTAATTTGCACGCTTGAATTTGGTGCTAGGATATAAGTTTGTTTCACCTAATCGTTATGAATTTATATTCACAAGTAGTGAAGGTCGTTAGTCACGATCATGTTAAGTAGATTCCTGGCAAGAGTTTCATGCTTTTCATAGTTACAAATGCCTTGTCGATGCTTATGATTTCCAAAGAACGTAATGATTCTAACTTGTATCTTTATCATGCTGTTCATATAAAGAACTTGTTAGGAATAATTTGTTTGCGATGCATATTCATCCAATTCAATGATTCTAGGGAAATCTGAAGGTTAATTTATGTGTCACATTTGTAACGCATCACTATACTCGGAAGAAGTGATACAAAGAAATTCAGAACCATTCTCTTCAGTGGTTTCAACATGATATTGATTATCTCGAATATCTCTAAAATTCAGCAACGTTCTTCCGGAACATGGAGAATATAAGGCCTTTTTAATGGTTAAGACAGTAACATTAGACAACATTATACGGGTTGTCAAAGGTGCTTTCTTAGGTACAAAGTTAATAAAATAGTGTCGCTCACGTAATATGGTGTGCATAGTAGCACTATCAGCCAGACAACTAACTTCCCCACTAAACATACCTAGAAATAAATTGATTGAATTGGTCACATGCATAAATATAATTCCATTCATTCAATTAATCAATTCGAGAAATAATATCCATAAATAATTATCCATAATTCAAAACAAACCAAAACCAAACAAATTATTCCAAATACTTAAAAAAATTGTCCAAAAATTAAACCATAAACCTAAAAAAGGGAGGGGGTTCGTCCACTCCTAGTGGGTTCAGCCACTAGGGGTAAAAACACCCCAAAAACATGTCTACAAGAATAAAACTTATTCATCCATAGAAGCTGATGCCTCCTGAAAATCTAATATCTCCATGGGTAGCATCCTCTGGATGTTCCACATGGGAAAAGTTAGACTCACGATGGGAATGATACTTGGCAATGGCCTCAGGGATAGCTCTGTATACACGTGACAAATGATCCTTTGATCCATAGAAGTAGCACATGTCCATTTCAGTGGAAGCCGATTAAACAATAGTTTTTCCTATGCTTTTGAAGTTTATGGCCTTAGGGGTAAGGGGTTTATGCTTATGGGTCAAATTTTCTCCCTTGGGTGAGCCTTGGCTTTGTTGATCTTGGGCCCGTGGTTGGGCTTGCCGCCCATTACCACGGCCACAACAACTTTTCTGTTATTTTTGGCTGCTGGAATTGGTCGTATGCGCTTCAGGCGCGACGTTCGAGTCAGTGGGTCGAGCTTGATGATTTTTCATCAAAAGCTAATTCTGCTTTTTAGCGAGAAGTAAAACAGAGATCAAATCCAAAAATTTGGTGAACTTATGTGCCTTGTATAGTTGCTGCAGGACAATATTGGTGGCATGAAAGGTTGAATAGGTCTTTTCCAAGAGATCTGCATCTGTTAAGTCCACTTTACAAAACTTAAGTAGTGATCGGATTCTACAAACTTCAGAGTTGTATTCATTCATAGACTTAAAGTCTTGGAAGCGTAGATGCTGCCAGTCATGTCTTGCTTTGGGCAAGTAAATGTCTTTCTGGTGATCGAAACGTTTGGCTAGAGTAAGCCAGAGGGTGCGTGGGTGATCCTCAACGAGGTACTCGGTCTGCAGTGCATCATAAATGTGTCTTCAAATGAAGATCATTGCAATAGTTTTCTAAGCTTCATCGACGGGTTTGGTGTCGATGGGTGCCTCAATGGTGGCTCTAATACCCTTTGCAGTAAGATAGAGCTTCACATCTTGAACTCACTTCAGGTAGTTTCTTCCAGATACTTCCAAAGTGGTGAAATCAAGCTTGTTCAAGTTCGACATGTCCCTAAAACGAAGGGTACAATAAAATGTGGTTATTCATATGGTAATCCATAAACATACATCGTAAAACATTAGGGTTCTGTAAACATGTATTGTTTTAATTTAAGCATGAAAGCTACATGTTTCATGTGGTAAGTTTTGAATGATTCAGGTTTCAAAGGCACTAAATATGAAACTGTAGGTTCAATTTAGTTTTATGAACGATCAATTCATAAAGGAGAAGTTCCTGCAAGAACATAGAATGCAATATGCTGATTAAGTGTAGTGGACTTGAGTTGCTTTGGGAACTCAAGTGTGAGAGCTTCGAGACTACGAAAGGATGTCAATGGTTCGAAGCAGAAAAATAAAATATTGAATCGTTAATGTCCAAATGTGATATTCAGGTCAATATTTTTGGATTAATTATTAGATTAATGGACTGTAGGTCACGTTTAATTAATTCAATAAATTGAGACCAAACAGGGTCGATTGTGGAAGCAAAATAATGACAAATGGGTCTTATTAGCTTCGGTTGGTAATAAACTAAGTGATAATTAAATTAGAATCAATTAGCGTAAACCAAAGTACCCCAAAAAAAATATTTGGCTTTATTTATAATGCGGGGATGCCTAAAATTGGCATTAGGTTGAAAAATAATGCGGCCCAGCCAAAAGTAGGCTGGTAACGATGCAGGGACAGGCCCTGCAACTCAGCTGTAGGCTATTGGGCCTTGGGGATGGCTGTAAGCCTCTAGGCCGTGTGGTCTGGGTGAGCCTAGCAGCAAAAGTTGTTGGTTTGGGCCAAAACGGGGCACAGAAGTAGACCCAGCTGAAGGCTAGTTTACGGGTTGGCACTTGCGAAGCCCAGCCGAAGTTGGGGTCGGGTTTTGGGTCGGGGCAGTGCAAGCCCAACATCATAAACTACTGGCGAGTGGGTCGATGCTAGGGCAAAGCCCAACGAGCAATATGCTATTACGGGCAGGCCTGGGCATAGGTCAAGAAAGGCCCAGCAGCTCTAGGCTACTGGAATTGGGCCAAAGACGCGCGGGACAAGGCCAAGAAAGCTTCAAGCCTTCTCGATTTGGGTTGGGGGCTTCAGGCCCGTGATTACCCTATCAAGCCCAGGGCCTAGGTTGTCTGGCATTAGTAGCAAAGCCCAAAAGGCTGCTGCCGTGTGGTCCAATGCGTTAAACAATGTCGTTCCCATGTTTACTCCACGCGGCTAAGCTGTAGGTCAGCTTCGGTGGTCAGCTATGGTGCTTACGACAGTGCGGAGGCGAGCCGAATTTAATTTCTAGAAAATTATTATTATTATTATTATTTTCGACATCTCTAGGGTTTGAAAAACCCTAAGTTGCTTCTAATTTATTTATGTGTTTTGACTCACAAATTCCACATAGCAAAATAATTGTGTAAGGCATGAAACGTATATATAAATTAACAAATATATGAAACATATACAATATATATATATATATATCGAAGGGAAAATATAAATATAGGGGGTTCATGCTTCATGGAGAATGTTTTCATACTTCGTGGACGTTTCAAATATCTTATTTTATTTTAAGCGTACTTGATTGGTAGAAAATGAATAAAAGCCCTTGAATTTTGTAGAAGAAAACCTCATTCTACAATCCTTCAGTTCCTTAGCTTCTGGCAAGAGTGTGCTGATAACGTGTTGTAGGCCTATTTGACTAAACTGTATTTAGGACTAGAGAGGGAGAGATGCTGGCGGCAAGAGAGAGAGAAGAGATAAATTTAATTATAAGGTGTGTGTTATATCACCCTGTTGTGCCTTTATTTATAGTAGAAGGATAAGTTAAATCCTTACCCTTTTAGGATTACAACTCTAATAGGATATTAACTATTAAAGGGAATATTCAAAGATATCCCTAGATACACTAAGATTTACACAATCACATTCCTATTCTAAATACGACTGCAACACTTCTCACTTTGCTTTCATTGCTGGAAATTGTGGAAATTTCTTTTTGCCGTATGTAGGGCATTTAGAAATTGGGAAAGAGATCGTCTCCGGATCTCTTGCACCAAGGCTACCAGATCAAGTGATCCGTGCCTTTGAATTTTCATCCAACGTCCAACCTGTTTTGATTCCTTAAAAACTATAATAATTTTCTACCGTTGGATGAAATTTCAAAGGTCCAGATCATTTGATCTAGTGGCCTTGGTTGAAGAGATCTGGAGAAGATCTCTTTCCTAGAAATTGTAGGGATAATGATGCTAACAATAAAGAATGACTCAAAGTCTCTCCAAGTAGTGATCGAGAAAGTATCAACGCTTAATTGCTTACATTATTACAGCTATAAACGAATGGTTTTTAATTTTAGGGGGCGTTTGTTTCACCTTCTTAAGTGGGATTGGACTGGCTAGGATTATTGTCCCATGTTTGGTAAGCTTGGGGACTAACTTAAATGAGACTAGCCCGGACTCGTGTGGACTATCTCCCTCACTAAGTCGTCTTAGTGAAACCCCCTGAAAACCACGGGACTGCTAAGACCTGCTTCGTCTCCTTTGTGTAGCTTGGCATCCTCGCAGGTCAAGAGCAAGCTCTGCCAGGTGGAGACGTTTCCGACAAGACTCGCAGGTCAAGAGCAAGCTCTGCCAGGTTTTTCTGGTGGTGCAGAGGGCGCAGGGCGATCCATTTTCGAGAGACTAGTTGCAGGCGGAGGCACCCAGCAGGACTCGGAGGCGTTGGGTGGGGGGAGGAAGTTGCCGGTGCGGCGGAGGTACTCGAGGTCGACGAGGTGAAGGCCCTGGATGAAGTACTGGCATCTGGTGTTGAGATCGTAACAGCGGCGGTTATGGGAGACCATTCCCTCATCTCAAATCCGAGAGAACTACGACAATATTCTCGGCACTGGGTTTTGAAGTATGGAACTGGGTTTCGAAGAAGAGGAAGAGCTTTCAGAAAAGGAAGAGCTTTCAGAAAAAAGAAGGAAAAAAATGAGTATGGAACTGGGTTTTGATTTGATCTCAAAGTGTGGAACTGGGCTTCGAAGAAAAGGAAGAGCTTTCAGAAAAAAGAAGGAAAAAAATGAGAGAAGTAAGAATAAAATATTAAAAGAGATATAGATAAATTAATATAATATTAGAGCTTATTAATTATCCTGCTTCTTAGTCCGACACTGCACCAAACGCTTCACTAAGTTAGTCCAGCTTAGTCTAGTCTAAGCCAGTCCAACTTAGTCCCTGCAGCTAGTCCAGTCCGAGACAGTCCGGTGCAACAAACGCACCCTTAAGGGATTAGAGGTGGATTAGGCATGAAAGAGACTTGTTCCTTTTAGTCATATAATTTTTGGGAAATTGTAGGTGATGAATTTTCTTAATAAAAAATTCATCTTCAACCTTCACGTTGGATGATAGTATTTTATCATTTTTAAATAATGAACAATAATTGCTTAAGTGCATCTCCATTCTTAAAAATAATAGTATTTTATCATTTTTAAATAATTTAAATTGTAACTGACGTCAACCTTATATTATATAGGCAGGGCGCTGGGCCATGCGATTATTGTTGACTTCTCCATCAAGCTCGCCTTGAGAATATTATAGGTTTGTTATTTTTCAAGCAATTGTGAGCCTGAATGTCATCTGTAATCCTTTAGGACTGTTAGATAATCATTTCATTAGATTGATTAGATTCAATGCTCTGGTGCTTAACATTGATTATATTCAAGATCAAATAAAGGTAAGAGTGGATTTTTTTTTCAATTTAAAGGAAATAGAAGAGGTAGATTAGGCATGAAAGAAACCTATCTCATTTTAATCTTCTACCATTGGTCACGATTTAAAGTGATTAGTTTTCTTAATGAATAAAACTTCTTCTACCTTCACTTTGAATCAGTTACTGCAATGTGCCGAGACTTAATTAAATGAGTATGGCTTTTGCTGTTTGGATGTGACTTTTTTTATTTTGAATGAAATGTAGGGAAATTAGTCAAAGAAGGTCTTTTTCACTTTGCTAGAAATTGTGGTGGTTACAACAATTATCATTTGCTGCAATGTACCTACTTAATTAAATGTGTATGGCTTTTTCTGTTTGGATGTGACATTTTTTTTATATTTTGGATGAAGTGTAGGGAAATCAGTCAAAGAAGTTCCGTTTCACTTTGCTTTCATCAGTAGAAATTGTGGCAGTTACTGCAATTATCATTTACTGCAATGTGCCGAGAATTAATTAAATGTGTATGGCTTTTGCTGTTTGGATGTGACATTTTTTTTTATTTTGGATGAAATGTAGGGAAATTAGTCAAAGAAGGTCTTTTTCACTTTGCTTTCATTAGTAGAAATTGTGGCAGTTACTGCAATTATCATTTACTACAACGTGCCGAGACTTATTTAAATGTGTATGGCTTTTACTGTTTGGATGTAACATTTTTTTTATTTTGGATGAAATGTGGGGAAATTAGTCAAAGAAGGTCCTTTTCACTTTGCTTTCATTAGTAGAAATTGTGGTGGTTACTGCAATTATCATTTACAGCAATGTGCCGACTTAATTAAATGTGTATGGCTTTTGTTGTTTGGATGTGACATTTTTTTATGAAATACTTTAGAGGCGATCCTTAGTTATGAATATTTTTTTACTGAAACCTTGTTGGTTTTCAATTTTTGATTGAAGTTTCTGAAATTAATGTGATCATTTATTTCTATGTATGTTACTATATTTTTCAAATTAAAAATTAAAATTTATAGTTGTTTACATTAATAAGATTTTAAATAAAAAACCATAATTTGTGGGATTAAAAATAAGGAATTATTATTAGCACTCCAAAAATCTCATTCTACACTCTAACCTTTTTATATTTGGAAAGAAAAATACACTTGCAAGAATTGTAGAATGAGATTTTTGAAATGACAATAACACTTCCCTAAAAATATTAAAATATAAATATACTATTGTGTGTATATGTGACAACTCGTCCCTAATGTGATTTTACGAAAATACCATTAGAGGCTAGGATGTTTGACTTTCGTTGACCGTTCGAAGTCACAATTAATGTTTCCGAATAAGTCTCGAAGCCACGAATGCATGAGTTAAAGTCGTTTGCGAATCCGGATTTTAACGGTATAGTTACATACATTTGAAGTCATTTGACTAAGCTATGGATTTTAGATTGAGGACCGGCCCAATCATATTATATTCTTAGGACCAATCAGAAATTAGGGGGAAAAAGGGTGCCAATCAGGAAGTGTGAGAAAGAACCACCTTTTCCTGTCGACCCATCCATGTGCAGCAACCCGGTTTCGAACCGATGTGAATTCGGGCCAATCTCATCCATTTTTTGGGCGAAACTCAACCATCGATCACCTGCAACCTTTCCCCCAACCTTCCCTCTACCATCTCCACCCAAATTCGAAGGCTTTTAGGTCTTATTTCCTATGGAACCTCACCGGAGCACCAGAGATGCTCGACGACGATTCCTCTGCTCCGGCGAGTTGCACCACCCACCACCACGCTTAATCAACTTCCCTTGGACCCAGGAATGGAACACTGAGGAAAGAGAATCAAATAACACCCACCTTAAGGTTTTCGACAGGTTTGAGCTAAATTGGGGATTTTCGCGATCAAATTGGATTTGTCCATAGGTATGAAACTTGCTCTACTTGTTGAGATATTCATTCCTGTAAAATTTGAAATTTTTTGGAAATAGTTGAATTTTTCGGCAAGTACCAGTGGCTGACCGCCATGTGCGGCGGCGCGTGGCCAGTGTGCCGATGCTGCCGTTTTTGAGTTAAATTTGATGATTCTGACGTCAATTTGATAACCGTTGATTATAGTTAGATAGTTTGAACCTAGTATGAATCACTACGTTATTGACCATTTTATGAATTGAAGATTCGACATTTGGATCGTCACCAAATTTTACTACATTATAGTACATAATGTTTGAGGACCTTGGGAACTTACGGATCAAGAATCCGACATACGGATCTTCCAAATTGGATTCGTAAGTTTGTAAAATAAAACGTTGCCCGCCACTTGAATTTGCAATTGGTGAAGATCCAATCGTTGGATCGTAATGAAACTTTAGTATGATGTTCTAGAAGTATAATGTGGATCTTTGAAAGTTACGGATCAGAAATAAGAGATGCGGATCTTCCGAACAGAGTTACATAGTGTTATGGACGTTAATGGACCGACGGTTGACTTTTGATCAATGGGCTTCAAATTATTCTAGAACATCCTTGGGGATGTGTATTATGTAAGTTACGTATTCTATCGATAAGAATTCTGAGCCATGATTTGATAATTGTTCTAGGCGTCGATTGCTCGTGACGGCTCGATATTCATGCTAGGGAGTTATAGCGCAAACCTCAGGTGAGTGGGTCTTTTTCCTTTTTATAGTGTGTGTGTGTGTGTGTGTGTGTGTGTGTGTGTGTACCTTATGGTTTTCTAGAAATGTTTTAAATTGATTATGCATTGCATGCCATGATTTAAATGTGTTATATTTAAATATTGTGTTGTGATGAGATTTGTGGTTATGCCAAATGATCATATAGAGGTGCATGTAAGTTCATATGAGTTATTATGTGATTGAAATGGTTGAATTATATGAGCATGCATATATTCATTTAGATGCTCCAGCCTGGGGCCAGGGCCAGCCTTCACATGATTGTTTACCTTCCGCATCGCACTCACCTTGGATCCAAGTCTGGTGCTAGCCTGTTGTACATACCACAATAGGTGGTTCCGACTCGTAGGTGACCCACGATTTATCATACAACTTTCATGTGGTCGTAGCACTTAAGAGTACATATTTATTCCCAGCTTGTCGTACATGTCACATTAGGTGACTCCGACTCGTGTGCTAGCCTAGATTGATGAGCTATAGATCCAGTCGTACAGGTCATGCTAGATGACTCCAACTGGCATACTATTTTGGGTTATTATAAAAAATGGTCCTTGAGATTTGCATGATCAATAGAAATGGTCTATGAGATTGAAAATCAATAGAAATGGTCCCTGAGATTGTCCACCATCCATGATTTTGGTCATTCAGTTAAAAACGATTTTGGGCAATTTTCAAAACTTTGTAACTCAATCGTTTCTTAACCAAATTTGACCTATAATATATCAAAATGAAGATAGGAAAGTGTAGGATAAAATTATACCTATTTGGAAGCCCAATAGTTACCGGAGATGACCAGAAAATAGCCTGAAAGGTGACTGGTCCGCGGGAAAATTGAAAAACTTACCTGAAGCTAGGTAAACTTTAAACGTTCATAACTTCTTCAATACTCAATGAAATCGAGTGATTCAAAAACAAAAATAATACTTCTTGATGAGAGGAAGAGAATGATACCTTTTTTGAAGGCTAACTCGCCGTGATTTAGTCGGACAACGGCTCGAAAGTGGCTAACCATTTTCAAGTTAACCACTTTCGAGCAGTTTTCTGGCCAAACCACATCGATTTAGCAGTAAAGAAAGATACCATTCTCTTCGTCTCGTCGAGAAGTATGATTTTCATTTTTGAGTCACTCAATTTCTAAGTTATGAATGTTTAAAGTTTACCCAATTTTTTGCGAGTTTTCCAGTTTTCCTACGGACCAGTCACCTTTTAGGCTATTTTCCGGGAATCATTGGGCTTCCAAATTGGTATAATCTTGTTCTACACTTTCTTATCTTCATTTTTATATATTATGGATCAAATTTGGTTAAGAATCGATTGAGTTACGAAGTTTTGAAAATTGCCCAAAGAGTTTTTAACGGAAGGACCAAAATCATGGATGGTCGATAATCTCAGGGACCATTTCTATTGATCATACAAATCTGAAGGACCATTTTGTATAATAACCCTATTATTTGATATTAGTTGCACATCTGGTTTACATCGTTTAGTGCTGAAATATTATGACATGGTATATCTCAGTTTTCGCTGGTCTTGTGCATTGGTTTTCATACCTACGTAGTAGTATTTTCTGGAAACTGTACGTGATTTATGGTGAGGGGTTATAACGTTTACAAAAGGTTTTTATTTAAAACTTTATTTTCAGGCTCACTCACCCTTATTTTTCGCCCCTCCAGGTTCTAGTAACAGAGTTTTTGTACCGACGAGGATTATTGGAAAATCTTGGGGTAGATGATTACCATCGATGGTATAATTCTCACCCTATTTTACTGTATTGTACTTATGCTCTGTCATCACGTGTGAAATGGGTTCATACCCGCTCACCATGCACTCTTGTACTTAGACACTTTTAGGTTTAAATTTATTCACATCTTCCACATCAATACACTTTATGGATTTGTCACCTTCCAGGTGTCGGCCAACACAGCTCGATTCGGTGTCATAGTGGACATCCTGGATCGGGTTGTGTTAGTGTATATATGTATATAATTGACTAGATTTTATATAAAAAAAGGGTACATTTTACATATAACAAATTGGTATATTAAAGAATGAATACATTTTAAGATTAAAATTTTGAAAAAATTACATGAATGGGTATACATATAAGATTAAAAAATTGAAAACATTTCTTAAAAAAGCTAATGGGTACAAACTTATTCTAACTTTTTTATTTATTTAGAAATATTTTGAATTGAAAATTAGTTAGGAGTTTAATAAAGGTGTGATTATTAAAATTCTAAATCAATTATTAATTTTTATATAAAAAAATTATGTAACTGACATGTAAATTCATTATTACATTAATGCTAGGGACTTGGATCAAAATCTAATAAGGTTTCAGTCAATGAACATTAGTAACTAAGGATCGGATACTAATTTTTTTTTTTTTTTTTAATTTTGGATGAAATGTAGGGAAATTAGTCAAAGAAGTTCCTTTTCACTTTGCTTTCATTAGTAGAAATTGTGGTGGTTACTGCAATTATCATTTACTGCATTGTGCCGAGACTTAATTAAATGTGTATGACTTTTGCTTTTTGGATATGACATTATTTTATTTTGGATGAAATGTAGGGAAATTAGTCAAAGAAGGCCCTTTTCACTTTGCTTTCATTAGTAGAAATTGTGACAGTTACTGCAATGTGCCGAGACTTAATTAAATGTGTATGGCTTTAGCTACTTGGATGTGACACTTTTTTATTTTGGATGAAATGTAGGAAAATTAGTCAAAGAAGGTCCTTTTTACTTTCCTTTCATTAGTAGAAATTGTGGAAATTTCTCCTTGCCGTATTCAGGGGGTTTAGAAATTGTAGGAATGATGATGCTAACAATAAAGAATAACTCAAGGTCTCTCCAAGTAATGTTCGAGAAACTATCAAAGCTTAATTGCATAAATTATTACAAATATAAATGAATAAACTTTTAGTTGGAAAGAGATATTTTCTGAATTTCTTCCTCCAAAATTCAAGGATCAAGTGATTCTGACATTTGAAATTTGATCAAACGGCTAAAAATTATTATAACTTTTAAAAGTTTTTACTGACCTCTCTGTTTTTAACGGTTGGATCAAATTTTAAAGACCCGGATCACTTGATCCTTGGGTTTTAGAGGGAGAAATCTGAAGAGGATCTCTTTAGGGGATTAGAGGTGGATTAGGCATGAAAGAGACTTGTTTCTTTTAGTCATACAATTTTTAAGGAATTGTAGGTGATGAGTTTTCTTAATAAGAAATTCATCTTATGGCTTCACGTTGATACATTTTTTTTTTCTTTCCGTTTTCCTTTAAAATGTCTTGATATGATGTGAGTTATACAATCTAACCCATTGCTAAATATCAGACGAGTTTATAAATACTTTATTGATATTATGCAACTTCATTTCATTTGTTATGTAATCAAGAATTAATGCAGGGTGATGGCAACGCATACACGGAATGTTGAAATTTGCGCACATTCCTGTAGCGACGAATCTTTTGTACGACACTTAAAAGCTTTAAATGGGCAAGCTCATTCCTGCAACGACGAATCTTTTGTTATCTTGCATACTATATACGGCACTTAATGGCTCCTCAAGATTGAGGAGCTTTTCTTTAATTCAAAAAATCAATTAAAATTAAGAAAAATTAATGAAAAATATTTGAAAATTTTGAGTTTTAATGATAAAAATAAAATAAAGAGTAAAGTGAATAGTACCAGGATTGACTTTTTAATATAAAAATATGATTTTTCGTTAAAGTGAATATTACCGTGAGTTTTTCGTTAAAACTCTCTTAAAACTAAGGTGTACAGTAAATTGATTATAGTAAATGGATAGACGATTCTTAATACTTTTATGGAATCTGCTCATTTGTTTATATAATTCGATGATAAAATATCTCATATGTTATTGATATTTTTTTTTTTTTTGTAGAGATGATTTTTACATAATGATTTACAATACCAATGAATAAGCATGAAGATCGGTAAACTGTCCGTGTACTGAATTGAGGAGCCAAGTTAATTTTGTGTTAAAATGGGGTCACCATAATAAATTTTTATTGAAATTGTAGTTTACACGAATCTAACTAAAAACGTTTCACTTATAAATAATAAGAAATACTAGTGACAAAACAATGTTATGGTTTCTTTTTTTTTTTTGTAACGAGCAACATTTTAGTCTTTAGTTGTGTTTAGTTATTTTAATGTGTGGCCCCATGTTATAATAAGTCATGACGGTTTAACGTCTTCGCTTTTTAGTTTCTTTCATGCCATGCAAATTTTCTTCAAACGTACATTGGGGTTTGAATAATTCAAAGCTAAAAGGAAAAAAAATAATCAAAACTACAAAAAAAAAAAATATATATATATATCGTCATGCACCTTTGGTTGCTCATGTATATATACACACACAATCGCAAACCTGTTACTGTAAGCAATATCTAAGTTAAAAATGGCTTATGGCTTCCTCCTCCCCTTATTATTCTCGTGCACTATATTGACAACAAATATTCAAGCATGCAACCAAACTGAACGCATCTCACTATTAGCCTTCTCCCTCACGTTATCTTCTTCTTCCGTAAATTGGAGTAGTTCTGTTGATTGTTGTCATTGGAACGGCATCACTTGTAATCAAGAGGGTTGGGTCACCCATTTGCTCTTACACTCCAAAGGGCTCACAGGAGGTATGTTTGTCTCATCACTTGGAAATCTCACACATCTCACCCACTTGAACCTTTCCCACAATTCACTTTATGGTGCACTTGAAACTAAATTCTTCTTGTTCTTGAAGCACCTCGAGATTCTTGATTTGAGCTATAACCTACTTTCTGGAGAGATGCCATTTTCTTTACCACAAATAAATATTCAAACAATAGATTTGTCAAGCAATCACTTCTACGGTGCGATTCCATCTTCTTTCTTCCAACAAGCTTGGAATTTGACTAGTTTCAATGTCAGCAACAACACCTTCTCTGGGCATATCCCATCATCTATTTGTCTCCGATCGCCTCCTTCCATAAAAGTATTGGATTTTTCCTCCAATGAATTTAGTGGCAAGCTTTCTCGTGGGTTTGGTGGGTGTTCCAAATTACAAATTATTCGTGCCGGTCATAATAATTTGTCGGGATCACTCCCAGATGATATCTATAATGCTACCAAACTTGAGGAACTTGCATTACCTCTCAATTCACTAAATGGAGCCATTAGAGAAAGAATCGCCAACCTCACCCACCTCACAATCCTTGACTTCTACTTTAATCATTTGAGTGGTGAGCTCCCTCTTAATTTCGGGAAGTTGTCCAAGTTGAAATTCATGAATCTTGATCTCAACAGCTTACAAGGCAATTTGCCCCCATCTTTGATGAATTGCACAAACCTCGTTGAACTACATTTGGGATTCAATTACTTTGATGGAGATCTCACCATGCTTAATTTCTCCAAACTCAGCCACCTTAGTAAACTTGACCTAATAAGGAATAACTTTAGTGGTTTCTTGCCAAGAAGTCTTTACTCATGTTGGTCCCTAAAAGCAATTCGTTTGAGTGATAATCCTTATTTAAAAGGAAAAATACAACCTGAGATCCTTTCATTGAAATCCTTGTCGTTTCTATCGCTTCGTAGTGTACAATTGACCAATATCACAGGGGCAATGAAGATATTAATGCGTTGCAAAAGTCTTCAGACACTATTCCTTAGAGGTTCATTTGACCACGAGGCAATGCCAACTGATGATGTCATGGTTGATTTTAATGGATTCCAGAAGCTTCGTGTCTTGAGTTTGGCTAATTGTGGGTTCACTGGTCAGATACCTAGATGGTTATCAAACCTAAAGAATCTAGAGATGTTGGATTTGGGTTTTAATCAAATCACAGGGTCAATTCCAAGTTGGTTGGGGACTTTTCCAAAACTCTTTTCTGTGGGTCTGTCATGCAACCAAATTTCAGGTGAAGTTCCAAAACAACTTTTTGGATTACCTATGCTAATGATGAATGCATCTCGAGCAGACAATTATGAATTCGAACTTCCCCTCATTGGTGGCCTAATAAAAAATCCAAGTTATATGGCGCATAGAACGTCTAACTTGCAAGGAATGATAAACCTAGGGGGCAATAACATTAGTGGTAGTATACCTACTGAGATCGGCCAATTAGGGCTTCTTCGTGAGTTGTATCTCGACGACAACCACTTCTCTGGCAACATTCCCGACCAAGTATCTAATCTAAAAAATTTAGAGATTTTGAACCTCTCCATGAATCATTTGTCAGGAAAAATTCCCTCATCAATGACGAGCCTTAATTTCTTGAAAGAATTTAATGTCTCGTACAATAATCTCGTAGGACAAATACCGATGGGCACACAGCTTCAGAGCTTCAGCACTTCTGCATTTGAGGGGAACCCTAAACTTTGTGGTGCACCACTTCCAAATGTGTGCAAAGAAATTGGTGCAGATAATAAGAACAAAGTCAACCAAGATGCGGACAATGAAGGCGACGAGCTTCCTTGGATTTATATCTTTGCAACCCTAGGTTTCATTGTCGGATTTTGGGGAGTTTGCGGTTATTTAGTTCTCAAGAAGACATGAAGTTACGCATATTTTTGGTTCCTTGATAATGTATGAGTGAAGATGGCAGTGTGCCTGGCCAGGATGAAAAGAAGGCTTAGGGACTAGATTCTACTTTTCATTATATATTTTTCTTTTTCAATAAAACTATTTGGATACACAAAATCAACACACTTGGTGATACACTCTCTAATAGAGTGCAATCTTATCATTGTATGTGGACTAAAGCTGTATGAGGGAGTGTGTAAACAAATGTGTTAATTATGTGTATCCAAATAGTATGACTCTTTCAGGTTGTATTTGTTTGTTTTCATCATGATGTAAGGATTGTTCTAATATATAATAGTTCAATGAAACTATTTGGACACATTTATAATATTGAGTCTCACCTAATATTAAAAAGTGTATCAACAAAAGTGTCAATTTTGGTGTGTCCAAATAACATAAATAATAGTAATATATTCTTTAAGTTTTGTCATATTGTAAGCCGAATATCAAAGTTGATTGGTAGTATTTTTTATATCATGTGTCGAGAAGAAGCTTATCTTATAATGACGACAATGAATAATGTGAAGCAGTACTTATATGAACTTTGGGATATACAAAATGTTAAGTTAGAATATGATCATACGTGAATCACCATGAACAAATACTTGGAATTTAAAATTCATGTAATGTCTTCATTCACTTATTCATGATATTAAAGATCGTATGCATAAGTTGCTAGTTACTTAAGCACAACATATTTATCAAGAAGCGAATATAGTAGTAGATAAACTTGTTTCAACTGGTGATGACAAAAGTTCAGCTTGTATTTGATTTTCTAATTTTCTTGTAACAGTTTCCTTAAACCTTTTCCACAACTGTAGGAAGTTAGGGATCATTCTTTGTAATTTTTTAAAATTTCGGTTCTAGTTCATGATTTAGCATCCAAATTGAAATAAATTGAATACTTCTTCTTTCTTTTCTAGTCTCTCGTTAATAGTATGACATTCGGGAAATATTGTTGGTACCACATTGATATTTCGTACGAATGTATGGTGTTAGTTTGAGGTTGATATTCCCTATTAATGTATCTAATTTCAATCAAATGTCCTTCAATCAAATGTATGGTACATTAAGTGTCATAATAAAAGTGGTTTGAGGTTTTTTTTTTCCAAATATTCAATCTATTGTTATGACGCTTAGTAAACCGAATCATGTTCCCAACACATTGAAAAATCTCTCCTAAGTCTTTACAAGTGCAACACCAGGCTAAAATTTTGTGAATCCAAAGCCCGTCAAGAGGGAGAAGCACACATTTTTCCTATCAAATCAAACACACCTGGCCTTGTACAGTTTGTGCAGGGGGCCATGGCTGCCACCAGTTTCATAGCAGCGTCGATTGTCCAAAAAGCAGTTGTGGCTTTTGCTTTCTTTCATCCTCTTCTTCCCTTAACCAACAAGCTCTCCTATCAAAGGACTCTTATCTCTTTTCCTCTCACTCCTCGCATAAGTTCATCAAGTTCTTTTGAGCTTTTAGTTGGATACTAGTCTGCTAATTGATCATTTTGTAATTTGATAAGCCAATATTATACTATATATTTTGGGAATTATTATTGGCATTTTAAAAATATTATTTTGCACTCCAACCTTTCTATAATTAGAAAGAAAAAATGCACTTGTGAGAAGTGTAGAATGAATTTTTGGAGTGTTAATAACATTTCCTTATATTTTACTTTAATCTTAGTATTAATTTGAAAATATGACTTTAACCCATGAAACTTATTTTTTGTTACATAAAACCCAACATAATTTGTTTACTTGAATAAAACACATTGACTAGGCTCTACACAAGAAAATTTATTAATTATGTTTTACTTCACTCATTGTACATTTTTTGAATGCCTAAAATACCCTTAATTACATTTTTGACCTATACAATTAATTGTACGGAATAAAAGGTGGATTAATGATTCTTGAAAAGACAAATTAACCATTAGATTTATACACTTTTAATAGTTGAGATGTAATTTAATAAGTCCAATTAATTTCTTTTATTTAAAAAAAATGGATTGGGAATAAAATTCTAAAAATATTTTAATTAAGATTTTTATATTCTCTCTCATCTCGTTAATTGTTTTTCATTAATTTTCTCCCTCTCTCATTTAACTCTTTCTTCTCCCTTTTCCCTGTTCATCGTTCATCCTATATAATATAATTATCATGCTTACGTATTTCCTTCTCTTCCTTCTCCATTCATCCAATGGCCATGCATTTTTTCAAGTTTTTGGTTTCGTTTTTAAATCTCTTCTCCATTAATTGTTTTTAAATCCCTTCAGACCCGATGCCTTATTCCTTGTTTTTGTTTATATTTTTTTATTTTTAATAACACAAACATAATCTCATTCTATAAAAAAATGTTGCGAGTCCTAGCTAATTACTAGCAACAGATTAGTGCGTCCAGAAATCACCCATTTATTGAAAAAAAAAATTGAAGCGTTTTGCAGCCTACGAGCCTCATGCATCCCATGATTACCGTACCTAATTATTTGGTTGCAAAACCCTAACTCAATGTGAAATATATAGCCATATTAACCCCTTGAGATTTAAAAAAATAAAATAAAATTCCGAACATACATCCTGAAAATGTAAATTCAAATAATATGATGCCCAGTTTTAGATTTCTTACCGCACCGACGAAACTTGGAAAAATTTGACTTAAAACAGAAATCAAAATTACAAAAACAATGTTACCCTAATATTGAATGATGTGGGTATTTAGTGCATGAGTGTTATTTTGTGGCTAGGGTTTTCAAGTAAGAACACAAGAGATAGTTCAAAGCTAAAATCAACTATTTTCTAAAAATGTAAAACTCTTAGCCAAAACAAATGAGCATATCAAACAAATTTAAGCAAGCAAATTCAAAGATAGGTTTGGAAATATTCAATGAGAACATTACCCATAAAATATGCTTGATGCTCCTAGGAGATCTGAAATGGAGATGAATAATAAAGCTTCAAAAAAATTGCCAATCTGAAAGCCCAAAAACAAATAAACCCTAGAATGGCTTTATAAAGAGGGTTGAGTTTCAGTCAAAGAGAAGGGATGAAAAGCCACATGTCATGTGTAAAATCAATCTGGAAAGATCTAGGGTTGGAAAACACTCTCGGAGAAAAAATTGTCAGAAAGCCCATGTGGGTTGTCTTAAAGTGTGTGCCCAGCAAACTAGAAAGCGACAAGAATTTTGACTAGACAAAACCACTAGATAGAATGAACTAGAAATAATGACATGAAATGCATATGTATGAACAAGCCTTTGATGTAAGAAGTTAAGCTTTTGAAAGAATATTTCCAGTAGGAAGATTCCAAAAGTGACATTGAACCCTAAATCTATTTAGAGCACGTGTGGTACAATTTACAAGATTTGGCAAGGAAAGCCAAACAATAATTCTAGACTTTGCAATCTCCCCATTTGGCTTTCCTTGACAAAATACCCCAAGTCTAAAGCTAATTTTACTCACCCACACTCAAGAGATGAACGACGGAACGTATCTTGCAAAACAACAGATCTTGAAATGAACAAGTGAAATTTATCATTGTAAAAAGCTTGCAAGGTAAAAACACAACCAAAAATTTTCTCCCCCATTTTGTCATGGCAAAGACAAAGGAGTTAAAATGAATAGACTGCCAGTTTCATCAAACAAAAGAAAATGATATGTCAATTGAGCACAGGACAGTAATGTGCAACCACAAACAATGTATATAAGAACCAACAACAAAGACATAATAGCAGAGAAGTTTAAGCACAAAGTACAATTTTCAATACCAACATATTAAAAGCATAACAGCATGTCAATGTAATTTGTTGAAAACACCCATTTGTTCAGGAAAACCAACAATGGCTAAGCCGAGAGTAGCATTGTAAGATACAACAAAAAGAGAGTTTCAACTACAAAGAAAACACCATTGTTCAAATAATCAAGAAAATAAATTGAACTCCCCCCAACAGCTAGAACTCCTAAGAATAGAACTCGTCGTCAAAGATATATAGTCACCTAACTCAAACTGACATCAGACGAGCACAAACAAGGTTAAATAGAAGGAAAGTTCAAATACAACAAAGTCAAAATAGGTTAAGTTTGCCTAAAAAAATGAACACCCCCATAATTAGCACTGTCCTAGACACAAACTCCCTCATAAACCTACAAGTCTACAGACTAAGTGGATGCACGAGATCAAAAGCATAAAAAATTGCAGCAAATACACAATGCAAGGATAGCAAAAACACAGCGGATAAAGAATTAGCAATAGATCATATAAGCATGTTCAAGCAAGGTGAAGCAAGTATGTCCAAGTAAGGTGAAGCAACGATTAAGCAACAAGTAAGCGCATGTAAATGAACCAACTCCCCCACAAAGGATGAGGACTTAATTTCCAAGAGCACAAATGACAAACAAGATAACAAGATAATGCAAACGGTATTGAATGAAAATGGTGCAACGAGAGAATAAGAGCAAACCAAGAACATAAATATATGTAAGATAAGGTACAATTCTCCGTACTAACCAATAAAAGTACATGGCATGATCAAGGAATATATTCAAGGCAACCTTCAACAACCAACACAAGAGTAGCATAACCAAGTACAACAGAATGAGAGTTTTCAATATTCCAATAATCCATTATCACAAGAAAATGAACTCTCCCATAAGAAGTGCTCTATTAGGATACTGAACACTCACAAACTCACTCCCCCATAACATAAACTCTCAACAAAATACTTTACTCCCCCAAAATGAGTGCTCTTAGAAGGCACATGAATCCCCTGTACTATCCATATGTGAAGATGGAGAACAATGCACAATATCAACACAAAGTGATACAATGAAATATATATATATATATATATATATATATATATATATATATATATATATACAGGCACTTAGGAGATACTCAGACTTAGTAGTGTCAGCATAAGTAATGACAAGATAGTCATATGGTGAAAACCTGAGAGACGTGACTGAGTTGATTCCAT